AAAGGGCATTTCAAAGAGTTTGGCAAAGTATCGGAAGCGACCTTTGGCGTTTATAATCTGTTGCTGTGTTCAGGTTTAACTGAGCATAAAGCATGTTTGGTCAGGGTGGGGGTGGAGAAAGGGGTCCTCCATCTTTAACACTAAATTGATAGATTGACTCAGACATTGATTACAACGAGAAATAGATATATTACAATCAGAGGTACTCCACTGTGGTTAACATTTTTGCGCACAACAGAGAGGTTCACTCTGCCATTAACTATGCTATACCTGACCTGAAAGGCCTTAGTGCTAACACATTGAGTCAAAAGTGGGAATGGTGCCATAGCTTTGCAAGCTTGCCAGCTGTAGAAACACACAAACTGGAAACAGGCAGCATATGGAGCCAGCAGGACACAAAGTCGCTGTATTTAAGAACAAATCTGAAACTCATTTGATTGCTAAATGAGGCACTTGATGAGCACCAAGTGATTCTGAAAGGTAGTGTCCTTGCCTTATAAACTAACATGCTTATTAAAAGTACTACAGACATCAATCGGCATGAATTGGTTGGGCTGAATGGTCTGTTTCCATGCTGCCCGTTCTTTGTAAATCACCATGCGGCTTCCTACAAAGCCAAAATGGTTCAAACCAATGTACAATAACGACAACTTGCATTTGCATAGCACCCCTTACACAGGGTAGTGCCCCAGAGCACTTGACAGTGGTGGAACACGACGCCTAGCTGGGGGGAGGGGAGAGGTTGAACAGGAAGGTCTGCAGGGGGGGGATCTGAAGATGGGGAAGGAAGGGGCACGGAAGTGTGTTCCAGAGCTTTGGGGCGTAGTGACTGAAGGGATTTAAAAACGAGTGTGAAGGTCTTGAAATCGATCTGTTGGGCGAGCAGTTTAGTGGTAGTCAGTGTTTACTCGTGCAAGCTGCTATCATATATCACAATACAGTTACTTCTTTCCTGTTACAATAATAAATAATAATAATTGCAGTTAATACAACACCATTCACGTTAGAATATCTAAAGTTTTGCACAGGATTAACTGTATATTGTAGGTAAACATGGCAAACAATTTGCACCCAGCAATGTGCCACAATCAGCTATGAAATGAATAACTAATTTTATCTGGAGGATTGTTGGCCAGGACAGCAGGAAAAACTCCCTTCTCTTTTCAAATCGTGCCATGGGATCTTTATAGTCTACCTGAGTGGGCAGATGGCACCTCGGTTTAATGTTTTATCTGAAGTATGGTGCCTCCAACAATTCATTTCTTTGCCAGCATTTGAGTTTAGCTTGGACATCGTGAGTTCAAAGTCTTGACATGTGGCATGAACCCACAACCTCTGACTTAGAGGCAAGAGTGTTACCAATTGAAACATCGAGGCAAAACGTTAAGGTCCATGCCCCAATCATGCCATAAGTGAGCCTGGGTTATAAGAAAGCGGGTTTGACTGTAATATAAGATTATTCTTAATAAAAGGAATCGACATTGCTTATCTTTAAAGAGTTAACTGACAAGACGATCTGCTACAAAGTGCATGCCAGGGTACATTTTTATAATCGTCTGCACCTCAGTTCAGATTGCTAAGAAACGAACGCCGATATTTCTATTACATACATAATATTAAGACTCAGTGATTGTATACATTTCAGCTTCAATTTCTTGCTAACCAATATAGATTTTTAAAATCCAGCTTTTGTATATTTTCATGACAATTTAAATGACAGCCATCGCCTATAAAAATTGCATTATCTTGATTACTTAAGCAATCCTCTTCAATAAAATGTGAAAAAATTATTCTGAAGTAAGACTTATTGTGGTGAATATTTAACAACAATTGGAAACAGAACAAGAATGACACCTCTCTTTCTATGAAAAGCGCAGCTTCCACTTAGCCTGGTCCAAGTCATTTTCCAGATATGATGAGTTAAAAATGAAGCAACTCACCCATTTAAAAAAGTGTTATCAGTGCATTTATGCCTCCAGTTCCAGTTCTTTAGCATTAATTTCCTACTTTGTTTGCACTTAATTCTTTGCGGTGTACCTTCGTACACCGACTAACAACTTTTCTGTGCCAAAAGTATATTTTATTCCTTTCTAAGATTACATTCTTCCAATTAAAGTTCAAGTAAAATTGTTAAGCAACTTAATTTAGGCAAGTGCAGAATTGACTTAATAAACATTGCTCTGCCCTCATAATAGACCGTTTATATCTAGAATTCAAACTAAGAATTGTGACATCTGTAAAATCTGACAGGACAAAGTTGTGCAGTGGGTTTTCTTTCACCTCCAAGGCTTGAGATCTAATTCAACTCAGACTGATGAGATAAGAATCTCTGTTCTTTTCTTGCTAGTTGTAAAAAAGTTCAGAGCAGTCTTGACCCAGCTCCTGGTGGGCACAGGTTAGAGTACAACAATACCTCTGTGATTCACCACAACTTGTCAGACTGCCAGTGTAGAAAATAGGAAAAANTCACCTTGGTTTACAATTAGATGCTATGTTAGAGGGTAGATTTAAGGCAAGTTGCTGGAACAGAATAGAGAAAGCTTTACTCCTGCAATTCCTGTACCTGACATTGGAGTCAAATCTACAAAAGTCTGTTTCCCAGGTATTCACAAAACGTTACATGTCCTCCAAAATTTACATGCTACAGTATTAAATCGGAGGCAACTGGTACCATTAAACAAATATATTTTACATAAGCCTCAGGAAGACAATGCACACCCAGATGCTCAAGATCCTTTCATAGTGCAGGAGGCCAGAGAAGCATAACTGAGCCCTCACTATGGTCTGGCACTCCTCCAGAAGATTATTTTTATTTCCCAGCAGGTCGCTGACTTTCTTTTGTGTAAATACATAAATTTTTAAGTGACAAGTATGAAGCCAAAGCTTTGAAAAACAGCTCTCGCGGAAAATCACATCAAGATTTGACATTATTAGAATCATTGAAAATTTATGAAATACTAATTATTGATTCACTGTGAGATATTGTAATGTTAACACTGATCCTTCTTCAGCTGAGAAACGAGAATCGATTCTGACCCTGTAAACTAGTCTGTTAAGCTATCATCACTGTAATAAGAACAATAGTGTGATTTTCATAGGGTTTGATGAACTAATGCATATCAGTAATACAATACCAAGGATCCCTAGTGAACAGTAAATACATCCCCCGCTAAATAAGAACCCAGATACCGGAAAATGCTTCTCCCCTCAACTTACCAGCTAATGCTTGCTGGAAAGTACATTGAGACTTTTACACACAATTTTCAGCAGTGATTTGTTCAGATGACAGGCATAAAAAAGTGATAAAATATGTATCATACAGATGTATATATAATCAACATTCAAGGCACAAGCACCAGATAAATGAATCCGAACACTTTGGATGATCACAAAGGGAAGCTGGAAGCAAGTAAAAGGCCGACATGAATCAACAGAAGCTCGACTTTGAGACAGAACAATTTCCACAGTCTGACAGAAAGGAGACATTTATAAGCACAGGACATGCATGGACAATTAGGAGCAGATACGTAAGCTTGCACTTCAGTCTTTCTGTCGTGTGATAAACAAGGCGATTCCCTGGACAGCAGTTAACAAAGCCCTGCACGCACATCTTTTATGAGGTAGTTGGTTTCCATGTCTCTGGAGCTGGCTGTAAATTATGCTAACTATTCTACACCTTTACCCTTTTCTCTGTGTATGAAAGATCTCTCTTCTTTAGCTTGGAGGCTGTTGATTTGGAACATAAACAACAATTGTTTCCAACTCAACTCTATTCACAGTGAAACAGTTAGAAATTAACACTTCAAATAGATGAATTTCTAAATGAGATTTAGACTTTTCATTGTGTATTCTGAACCATTAAATTGTAACATAGCTAGTAAAAGATAGGTCACACAAATCCCATTTTGGATACAAAACAGGTGTTACTCACATGTGAACATCACCTGCGCTACTTTCCCACTCTCCGCCCACATACACACACCAATATTTTCAAAAGAGGACTTCATGCTGCAATTCTTTACAATTTTTACTGTTTAAATTTGAGCATTTGAGCATTGTAACAGTTAAGAGAAGAGTGGCCCAGGTCCTGGAACATATTTGGATGCACCAGTGTGCTGCAGGGGAGGGTAAACGCTTGTAATTCTGAGTGTGGTAAAACTCTTGATCTCGTTCAGATCCTTATACTAATGTTCTTGTTTAAATGCCATTTCACAAGATACAGTACTTCAAAAACAACATAACTGTAAAACAACATGCTGCACTAAAATCTGAAAAAGAAACACCACTTATAAGCACTATTGGAATAATGGTTGACTAACAGTCTAATAATATATTATTCCATGCAGTAAAACCAATTGTTTCAGGGAGTACAACATTCTCTTTAATCTGTTGAAACAGCAATGCCCAGTTTCAACAAAAGAATATTAAAGCATCTACGGTAAATTAATTTATGTCTGAAATAGTTACTGCTGCCAAATGTTAAGCAGAGTGCTGAACTGTTGTTTGGTGACTTTGGCAAGAAGCCACATCTTCAGCTGATGAGTTCCTTATATATCTTTGAAGTCCCTCCTGAGTTGTCTTTTTTAAGACTGAAAACTGTAATCTGTCGTTGCTCATAACATTTTAAAATGCAGAGAAAAATCCATACTGTTCTCCTTTATATTGTCTTTAGGTGCCATTAGATGCTATCTTACGTCAGGACAACTAGGACTGTACACAGTATTCCAGAACTTATTACTGACACACACTATGTGGATATAGTGTGAGACAACTCAACTCATACTCCTTGCTCTCCCTTGATAAATTTTGTTCCATTCATGAAGCATGCATGCCTCCTGATTTGCTAGTGATCAGTCTCAAAATCGCGAATGAGTCAACAAAAATGATCAATTCTCAAAAGTAAGATGATACACTAAACGTTTGTCAATGGCGTCTGTCTCCCTCTCCCCTTACTAAAGCTTCACCACTTTTTAGGTCATGGAGTTTGCCTTTTTTCCTACCTGACAGATACGAATGGCTTGGTCCAGAACAGACTTTGTGTCTGTAGCATAATCTGGACATGGCAAAGCAGCTCGGGAAAAATGTGCTTGGAGGAGCAGGTGGGCCTTCGTGTGTGCACTGTCGAATGAATGTGGATTCACTTCAATGGGAAGCTGCTTGGCCATTTCACTGTTCAGCTGGTCTTCATTGTGTCGCACTGGAAGTTCTGCATATTCGGTAGCATCCTGCAGGAGAGAAAAAAACACATATAACAGATCACTGATTCAGAAAGTTTGACTGTGCAGCTCTTCAGAGCATTGTGCATGCAGATATGATCAAATGTGTAGGAACATGCAGTGAGTTAAACAATACAATGTTAGAAATAAACCTAGGTTATAGCGAGTCTGCACTCGGAACAAAGTGAAAGTGAGAATCTTTAACTTTAAAAAACAGAGTATCAGAGACTTTAAGGGTGCACGTGAATGTTTTCAGACAGAACTACTGCTCCATAATAATGCAGCCAGGAGGAAGAGCTATTCATCTACCTTGGAAATAGCAACAGCACTTCTAATTAGGCACTGAAGTGCATAGGATGATACAATCCAGCTCAATGGTCCATGACGGAAAGGTGGAAGGAACACCCAGGGCTCCATTTAATGACAACTCCCTCCCCCACCCTCCATAAAGTGCAGGTGTAAAAATTGGGTTCAGTTCCAGTTTCCAAATGTCCTCCCTCAGTAGCTCAATGACATTCACCGAGCAGTCTCCAGTGGAGAATGACCACTTGAGGAAGCACTAGAGAAATGTCAGCATTTGTACAACTATACCCCAGGATAAGTTACCATTTTTAGCAGACAAGCAAAGAAAACTGAAGGCAATTTACAGCTTAAGAAGCAGCCCAGTTGACTGGTAAAAAATATATGGAAGGCGAGATTATACTGAAGAGCTAACCTATTTTCCTGGAAAATTCTCCGAAAATTAGGAAAAACAACATAAGAACTTCTCTAATTACAATTTCTGTTTGACTGGTAATGAAGTGCTTGATGCGTACGGTCTTCATTCAATACCCGTTGAAATGTTTGGACATTTTATTCTTGGAATGCAGTGTCACATTTGCTCAGAGCCCTTTAGAAGTTTATCTATGCTCTGACCCCTTTCTGTGGACCCGATTCTCTAGGTTTTATTTACTAAGGAGCTTTTGACTCCTTTTCAGGTCTCTTCAGCCTTGAGAGACAACACATGAATGTCTCATCTTGCTTACGCTATTGTTGAAGATGTATTCCTTTTGCTTTGCCACAAAAAGGAAGACTTCATTTACTTCTAGTCATTTGAGAACTAATACTCCAACCAGCTTCTCTACATAATTTCTACCCATGGTTATAGAATGAACATAAGTGAGGTTCATTTTCTTATCTACGTCGTGCCACTAATTAAAGTAAATTGACAACGGGGACTAAAGCTTTTTGTGTAACTGAGAAAGGAATTGAATGGAGTGCCCAAAGGTCGCCAGAAGCCATTATAGTCCTATGTGAAGGGCTGGCTTCTATGTCCTACCCTTGTTTGTTTTGTGCAGTCCAGGCAAATTGCTTACCACCAGTCTGTATCTCTGGTTTGCCCAGCTGTCTGAGGATAAAGACATCTACCCTTCACAAATGTTAAGCAACAGTGATTGACAATCCTACGATGAACCCAGGCTGTAACCCAGCTAGTGTTCTTGGCGTCTGTACGAGAAGGAAGAGAATAAGGAATCACGCTTCACGCTGACATCCCAAAGCCCCTGGTTCCCGCTGCGTCTTTTATCACTTTTTGCGCCGTCTTGAATGAGACAATCTTGCAATCTGTGCGGCAAATGCCGTACAATGAAACACGCTCAGAGCTAGTCAGCTGGTCAATTTTACATTAGCTGGAGAATGAACAGAACTACAATCGTATGGTATTGGCTTTTATTACAATTCTAAATTTGTAGGATTATTGATGATTATTTTTCTTCGGGACCTCTAGTACTAATTCTTAATATTGGTAAAATAATGGATTGCACTGATGGCAAAACAAAAGCACCCTGTTTAGGTTGAAAACTATCTGAACTAATTCCCAGATTATATACTTATAAATGATAAACATGGCATTTTCCATGGTCATACCTTTACTGTACATGGACATTTTAGGATCACTGAGTGAAAAGACCCAGTCAGGTTAAAGTGTCCTTTATGGGTGGATGGTCACTATCGTTCAGATCAGAGGCTGACATCCCTCCCTCTGCTGGATGATTATCCTGGTGTTCAAACATAAATGCGGTGTATGTATGAGAGGAGTCTGGGGTGATAGCTCCCAGATGGAAGGCACCAAGTCAAACCATGTTTTTCCACCATATTATGACCTGCCATTGTGAAACATTCCTATTGCTGTATGGCACCTCCATTAAAACTATTATCTCAGGACACCAAACAACACTAAGTTATGATGGGCTATTATCCACTGCCTGCAAGTCACAAAAGTGAAAAGCAAGTGCCTTACCATTTAGCCCCTGGGCAAATACAACTTAATGTTTAAACTTTTTCACCGTGTTAAGAGACGAGCAACAAATTTCTAATTACAGGAAGCCAGACTTTAAGGGCAACCTTGATTAATCTGTAACACAACAAGGGAACAAAAACAACACTTCTATTATTTCCTCAAATTACAAGTTTTACATTGCATGCTAGTCATTTTTCGGCCAGGCACAAAGCTGTATTAACTTAAGAAAAAGTGTTCTTCACTTTATTAACCTTTTGAGCTGCGCCACAACATTCCTGCACTAGAAGAATATACACAATTGGGCTTTAAACCTATTCCAACAATAATGTGATGGTTGTTTGTTTGCAAGTTTCTCTAATTCCACTTCATCCCTGGGTGTTTATCCTGGGATCCTGATCAACAATCCACCAGATAAAAATGGTCATTCACTTAATGGTTGTTTGTGTGATATTGCTGTGCATAAATTGCCTGCATCATCTTACTACAATACACAGTCACTTCACTTTACAATAGATCCCGTGAAACAGTTTAGTAAGACATTTTGACTATGTAACGCACTATATAAAGCAGAAGGATTATTATTGTATTATTATTTATAATGCAATGCAAGAAATTTAGAGTTCTGAAGACATTTCCTGGAAGATTGGGAATGTACTTTGAAAGTTGAATAGATTTCTTGAAACTCAAAGAATGAAGATGTAATATTAATTTCATAAACATCTTTTAACAGCAACAAAATTACATTTGTATAGCGCCTTTCACATTGGGAGGATGTCCCAAGGCGCTGGACAGCTTAAACATCGTTTAAACTCCCCGTACAAAACAATTTTCATAGTGTGTACTTTTGCCCTGTTACAGTTTGTAGCTAAAGGATGGCAGACTTTAGGGCAACCTTGATTAATATGTAACGCATTGAGGTGACAAAAAGAATGCTAGTTTATTAGGGAAACATCATTCCAAAAAAAACATACAGAATGTTAGCTCTCATAACACTGCCATCTTAATCTTCTTATAGCAGAGAAAGAGTGAAGGCCCATGAAATTAAAGCACAGATTGTTATTCATTGTTAAAAGCTATTTGCGAGTTATAAGTAGTTAACTGACAATTTATCCAAACTTTTCCTACTTTCAGAAATCATGAAGCCAGACTCTTGATTCTATATATCAACAGGAAGGCTGAGGTCTCCAGTTAACTGGTTCTACACAGTAACTCTAAGATCTCTGCTGGTTATTGTGACTATAGTAAGAATAATAAGAACAACATTTAAATCTCTGCATTTATTCTGCTGCAATAGGCGCAATCATCATTTTCATGAGCGACCTATCAACATGGCAAACTGGTGAGAAACATGGGGCAGAGGCCACAGTGAAACAGTTCAGTGCTTATATTAAGCCCTGAGGGGGTTTCAGGTTGCACATTCACTGTCCACTTTGAGGTCTAAAGTACAAATTGCTGATGGTTTTACTGATGACCGGGGTCAGGAGTTTGAATGAGCTGTGCCACTGTGCAGAGAGCAGCAGGAGGTCAATGGAGGTTGGTAACAGTGAGAAAAAGTCCCACGAATAAACAGTTACCTAAAGACATGTAAAAATGGATGGGGGATTATCCTAAACTTTAGGTCATAATAGCAGTGGTTTTGGTTCCTACCAACTAGAAGTTGAAGGAACAAATCCAGAAGTTTTCGTAACTGCATGAATTGATGGCACATGTTTGTGGATTATATTTGCCCAATTGTTTTTTTAAAAAATGTTCAAACCGAATTGTAAACTAACCTTCAACATCTTACAAGAGCAATGACAAATTATTAATAATTAGACATGCAGTAATATTCACACGTGAAATATAAAATATGCTACCATTTAGTTTAATTTAGTCCAAGTTTAATTATCAATGTTGACAAGTCAGTACCTCTCACTGATTCTGCTTTTTAGTAATTGTCATTTGAAATTTAGATAGAATCCATCAGCAAATGTAATGTAAAACAAGAGTTACATCTTGGGGAATACTATCAGTGCTCAGAGTTAAATAAAATAAAAGTAAAATTATCGCCAAAAGAAACCCCTGAACAGCAGGTTATACGGTGAGCTCCCTTCTCAAACACAATATGTCTATAGCTTTCTAAACAGAACCATCAGTACAGATCTGAAAGTTGTTATGCAGAACCAGTCAGAACAACTAAGCAGAGGCTCGAAGCTTTCGAAAGAACGAAAGAAGCAAAGACAATGGTTGGTTTTGGCATATATGTATCTCTTGCATACCCCCAATGGGCTACTCGGATGTCAGCTTGGATGACATTGGTTAACACTCTCGCCTCTGGATTTGAAGGTTGTGGGTTCAAGTCTCACATCGGGTACATTGTCTAGATTGACACTCCCCCAGCAGCATTGGTGCCATCGTTCAGGTGTCACTTGTCACCTATTCAGGTGGATAGTAAAGAACCAATCACAATATTCAAAAGAGAAAAAAGTTTGCTGGTGCCATGGCTGATAATTCTCCAGTTAAATCAATTATTCACCTGTCTGTTGTGGGGCATTTTTATGCACAAATTGGCTGCAACATTGCCCTCAAATCCATAGTCACTATTCTTAATACTAACAGCTGTGAAACATTTTGATATGTTTCAGTGAGATATGGTGTTGTATTAAGTGCAATGATTATTAATTTTTATGGATTATCAGAGAAGGCCTGCTGGAGACAAGTCACCTCCTTGGCATTTCGGCTGAAAAGTGTC